GCGCGCAAGTGTCCATTCGGTCCTGACACACTTACCCGAATTCGCAGCCCCATAGTCACCTTCACACTTGAACTCCTAATTCCTTCGCTGCTCACTTTGCTCACGCTTCTCATCCACCGTGTACGAGCCGCTCGCGCTGCACAACGCGATCGAGCTCTGGAGCGCATCGTGCACAAGTTCCTATCATGGACATGGACTGGCACTAGCCACAAGAAACACGAGCCTCTGCTCGTTCCCATAGACGTTAGTAATGTCGAGGGCTCGCCCGGCCTTGAACAAGGACCAGATGCCCCGTTGACTTCGCGTCAACTTTCAACGCTGGCATAGGCAGACCAGCAGATGGAGTGCGCGATCTGCATGGAGAGGTTTGTCAAGTGTGGTTGCGGACCCCTATGGACGAGGATGAGCTTGAGCTGGTTCGTGTAGACTTCATTGCTAGCTAATACAACGCATCTTGGAAGAATTGTCCGCTCACTCACCAGGAAGTGAATGAACTACGTCGTACACTGCGACCTGACTCGTCAAGTTTCAGGATCTGCTCATGAGTACCACACATTGTTGTGCGGACGCGTGAGATCATGGAAACCTGACCTTATATCGCGCCATCGTGCAATCTTGTCACAATTCTTGCCCGGTATTGTGAGTGTTGTACGGACAGGCCCCCTTGGCTCCCATGTCGGGTGCTCGTGCCGTCTCGCGCCCTAATCGGTGCTTCAGGCGCCACCTAGTACAATCCCGGACGACGTTTTTACACTTTTGCTGATGGACGCAAGGGCTTGAGAGGTCTCGCAGTTCCTCGAGAGCGTGTGGTGTGTCTCGCAGTCCTCGAGAGCTCCGGGAGGGCCTAGTGAGATATTCGTCTTTCCTGATGCGGGACATCATCCGGTTCACGATGCAGCTCCTCCACCGTCTTTTCCCCTCGGCTCCTCCCCTTGAATTCCCCTTATGTGCTCCGACGCTGATCAGGATGTCATTGTTAGTATGTCAACGGTTTTGGTGAGCGTTCTGTCCCCTCAAGGCAACTTCGTGCGTCTTGCACTGGCTGGGAGCTGCACGTAGGGGTCGCCACTGCCTCTGCACCTTGCCGTTTCGCCCTGTGGAACTGGTGAAGATCGCCTTTGCATGCTTGGAGGAAGGAGATACTGAAGGTGTCGTTGAGCATCAGCCCATAGTGAGCACCTATTCTATTGGAAACGAAACAGCAGCCAGGTGTATCGAAAAGGAGTCGAAGAGCTCTTTTGCCTGATTGGCTCAAGCTCGAAATTCTGATTCCTGAAGCAGAGTGAGACCGTTCATTGTGACTCTGCCTAGTATCTCCCTCATCTTGTGCTGTCGGCTCCTGTGCGAACGGGCAGCGCACATCGTGAAAACTGCATTCGCGCTAGGTTCTGATACATGGCACATACACTTCAGAAAAATCCCTCGTAGGCTTAGGCCGGGGATGCTGCTCGCGACGCTGTGTGTGCACCTCCACGGTCCAGGGCATCGTCCTGCTGTGCGATGCACGTCCTACGGATAACCACAAGTCGGACGCAGACAGACATACAGACCACCACGAACGTATGCGAGCAAGTCGCATACCGACAACAATTCATTCCCTTTGTAAGTAACCCACGATCTCGACCACCCTACTGACCCAACCCCAGTCTTTCCAACGGCGCTCGTCCGGCGAGCTGCTTTGCGCGTCCGCACCGCTGAAGCCTTACACATGTCCAGCCGTGCAGCCCGCGGGCGGGACTGCGTCTGGCTGACAGACGCGATGGTGGAGCAATTCAGAGAAGGTGTCTGCTGCGGGGACAATCGGAGTGCAGCGCATCATCTGCTGCAGCTGAGATCCTCGGTGGGCCGGGGGCGTACGAGAGATTCTGAATCAGGTCGGTCTCCTGTGACTGTCTAGCCATCGAACGGCGATGCAGACGCCTCAAATGCGGCACAGAAGCGCTCTTTCCCCACCCAAATGGTAGCTTTGTGTCACCCCACGTTGCTCGACTTCGGCCGGTAGGAGCAAGTAAGTCTGCCGAGTAACTGCCGTCGGGGACCGAGAGGGAGCGCCAGGGGCCTCGCAGACACACACGAGGTGAGATAGTCGGTAATTGGGTGAGAGATCGAGGTTGGATGGAACGAGGCTGGAATGGTACTCGGGGCGGAGGCCTTCCATTCCGTTGCATTGTGTAATCGTGCATATGGCTCTGACCGGGATCAAGGGAAACCTGGGACTTCGCTGACGCATATACATTTGCTGCTGTACAGGTCCATTCGGAAAATTTCTGGAGCGAGGCGGCAGGAACGAGAAGGTTGCACAGGACTTATTGATGGCGATGTTAGCTCATCACATCACGATCTAGTTCAACTGATACTTGTACACCATGTACGTACTATAGGGAAATACTCCGGAGAATACGAAGCAGCTCGGTACCTGGACGAGCGAGAGCTGTATCCGGATTAAGACCTGCCTGGGATTACGTCTAAGCGGTGCGCGAAGGAGTTCTACCGACTACTGCGGCCTCGACTCGGGCAGAAGTCGAAGGCACAGGTGAGAAAGCCTGCATAACCTGCTGAGGAATCGTCCGCTCAATTTTGGTGTGCCTGGGTGCTCAAGTTTTTTAGTGTATTTGTTCGAAAGGCTATGATGTGCGTTGACCATCGTGAACGCGGAGACTCCGCAAATCGGGTCACCGCGTGCACGGGATAAGGCCTAGATGAGGCCTATGCGAAGAGGGTTCACGCGAGTCGTGCTGCCGATAGTATTAGACGCAATCGCAGAATATGGAAATGCTCTTCTGCGTATCCTACGGTTCTGGGGGTGTGGCTTGGTTCTCGTAGTCTGAGAACATTTCAGGGCATTCGAGTGTTGGTTCCTGAGGAAGACATGGGTACGTCCGCTTCCCGCCGAGGTGACCGGTCTGCTATGGAAGGTCAGGCGGGCGGTGGTACTGAGAACGACCGCCCAGCGCCGATCCATTCGAACTTCAACATTAGGCACTCCGTCGCTGACGAGTGCGGGACCTTGCGAGTCGTGCAGAGACACAGATTGGGGACCACTTGCGGTCGATAAGCGCATTGTTCTAGCACTTAACCAATAGGGCCTAGCGTCGTCGGCGTCCTCTTTGCTACCAGCAAACCCAGTGCAGCCGCCTGTGCGTACCACCTCGAACGAGCGGACAACTTGATCGCAGAGGCTCAGACTCTCATTAGTGCGTGTCTGTCCGCACGGTGAGTACTGCTGACAAACAACTTCAATCGAGTAACAATCCCTAAGCGCACGTCCATGTACCTCGTGCCAATCGTGCTCAGCCTCGCGGGTGCCCGCAGTCGACGGCTGCATTCATATTGAGGGGGGGCGGGGTACCGGTACTGTGCGTTCCACTCTGCGGTTCAACTCTTCTGACGAGCGACCATGAAATATTGCGTACACTTAAGGTGAGTACCACATATGTAGGTCGAGATCATCAGATCGGCACTTACTACCATTGGGTCCAAGGTCGCCCGCGCCCTCCATAACATCAGTCCGCCCACTGCCGCCCTCCTCGCATAAAGTGCGGCGGCACGGACAGCTTCATCACCTCCAGTTCGTTCGCGTGTCCCTTGTAGGCAGTCTGGACGTCTAGTGAACGCTGATAAGAATCAACGCGATCGAGTAATGTCCTGCACTCACATAGTTCTCCTTGAACGCACACGTTCGCCCACCCCGTGCGGGTCGTGCCACACATGCTTGCATTCGTCTGCAGTCTATGGCTGAACTCGCCTTGTGGATTGGAAATCTTGGGAGAGCTTTGTCTGTCTTTGTCCGCAATGTTGCTCTTGGGAAAGACGAACACGACGCGTCGCAGGATGGGTATGCGTTATGTGTATCTTGTTTGGGCAACTTGGCGTTCGGGAGGGGAGGACTGGATGCGAGGGACGGAGTCGGGTGCACGGAAATGGGGAAATGCGGGGTGGGAGGGGCCAGGTTGGGCGGCGAGATGGAGCCATCGCAGATGTCTGCAAGGAGCACGCGCATATATGAATGAGGAGATCGCTCTCCATAAATCTCACAACTCACTACTGCTCCCCTTTCCTGTCTTCCGTAGACGGCTGCGCTCGCCTGTGCCACGCCCTTCAAGACTAATAATAGCTGCGTTCGTTTGTCCTTGTCCTCATGGCGGGCTCGGGACGGTCCGGTGCTATTTGACAGGGCAGACCAACGCATAGCCCTGTGGATTATGTCGTACTTGATGTCACCGTGAGCGCTGTCAAGAACCAACGAGCTTGTGAGCTGGATACGTATATAGGCTCGCGCAGTTATGGATGACACGCGCATCCACGGCAAGTCTTGTTACCTGTCCTAATCCGCATTTTCCCAGACAATTGGAGTGGACAAGAGGACAGTCGAATGGAGACACTGTTGGAAGGCGGAGTTGGCATTCCAAACGCACAAAGAGCAGGACCGAGGTGAACGGGCATGCGGACAGGGAGGAAAGTGGCGAGGAAGAGCCAAGAGAGAGGGGAGACGAACATGAGCTAGCGGAAAGGGCGAGGAGGAGCAGCGAGCTGTGAAGGTGACAGTCCCATGAAACCGTGCTCGGAGAGGATGTACAGAGAGCAAAGTCGGTATCAACGAGTGTGTGGACAGCGAGAAACAATGGCGAGGAAGAACACGAACAAGGGCAGAAGGCGAACAAGAGTGGGAACGCAGGGCAAGGCGCAGCGGCGAGCAACGACCGGTGACCAGCTGGAGTGAGCTGTCGCGCCAGTATTCAGCCAGCTTTCACGCACGCTGTAGGTCCGGGTTTGCGGACGTGTATGCCATCCATAGCCGGAGACGATGGTCGCAGTCAAGACGGACACCGACAGCGAGCAACGTCTTTCTTGCGATCGCTCCTGGCATAACGCGTCGCGGGCGCCTGGCTCACACGAGTCAGCTGATCACCTTCGACCACGCGTCGCCCAAGGTTCTGTCCTTGGGTCCCGCGTACACACCAGCTATCTTCTGAACTCTAAGACCATCCGGGAAACAGCTCCCGCAGTTGACGCTAGATGGCAGGAGCGATAAGAACCCGAGTAGCCATCGCGAGTTCCACGACACTCCTCACTCACTCACTGCTGTCCTGCATACGATCCGTCGCCCAGTGCTCTGCATTCCATCAACCCATCCTCGGTTGCCAGCGAATCTGCGATGGACGACGATCGTGCTCATCTCAACCCCAACGTCAGCCGCTTTCCCGTCGAAGTCTGCGAGAACATCATCGACATGCTTTACTCGGTTGCCATCGTGGACCAAGTTGAAGATTCTCGCGCCCTGCATCGCTGCGCCCTCGTGTGCAGAGCTTGGCGCGTCCGCTCCCAGCGTAACCTTTTCTACTCGGTTGTTCTCCACGACCTTCCAGCACTCCAGAAGTTCTCCGCTGTCCTCGACAACGCGCCCCATCTGTGCGACTACGTCCATGAACTGACACTCGTCGGGCGCACCCTTCATACCACAACCAGTCCTCTCTCGCTCTTGCCGATCATCCTCCGTGGGAAGCTCCCTAATCTCCAAGAGGTCACTATAAATCGTGTTTGCGAAGACGAGGACTGGTACCCCAGCGCGTCTGACTCGGAGTCCGCAAAGTCCCTGCAGTACCTTCCTCTTCATCCACGCTTCGCGCTCTACTTCTCTGCATTCACGACGGTTTCTCGACTCCATATCGTGGATATCACATTTGGGCACTTCAACGACTTGGCCAGGATGATCAATTCCCTTCCCGCATTGCAAACACTACATTGCGTCGGTGTGCGATGCGTGACCCTCGGCCCTCTGCCATTCAACATGAAACTGCGAGCCGATGGGATTCATGCTCCTGCAACGCCATTTGCACCAAAACTACAGAAGCTGCGACTGGTATGTACTCTGCGAAATGCATGGCACGCATCTAACATCATCCGTTCAGTATGGCGTGGACATACAATGCGTCCGAAGACTGGTATCCGCTTGTGGGCCGCGTCTCACGGAATTGTCAGTTACCGTGCCCTTCTCCCACGACGCCAAAATGGTCCTTCCCGGTGTGTTCATTCTGCTTCCTAATGATGTTTCCAAGCTGGCTTTCGCACTGATGTATCACATCAGGAGACCCCACCGCAGAGCATACAGTGGGCGTCGACTTGAGTCTCTGCACGACGCTCAAGCGATTGGACATCGGGCTGGATCCGGAGCTCGTGACTGACGGACAGTCGCTCGACAAACTCAAGGCGATGCTCGACTCGTGGGATTCCAAAGTTCCTCTCCAATACGTCCATCTTCAACCTTACTATGAAGAAGACTTTACGCGGCAAGGCTTCGCAGACTTTCTCGGTACAGTGGGTCGAGTCCTGGAGGAGTTGTTTCATGAGTCTTCTGCACCACCGAGTGCAGACGGAGAGGTTGGCGAGCAGGGCGGGAGATGGCGGATATGGGTCGACGTATGTGATTGGGAAGTATGGCGACGTTGGTGGTGGACACATGTCCAGAAGTGCTTTCCGACATTCGCGAAGTCAAATGGGCTCACGATGGCCTTCAACCCTCGTGAGTTATCAAGCAACATCACCGTTTGTGAGCGTAGGAGGATCGCTCAATAACTCTCTTGCATTCCACTAGCACTAGCACAGCATAACTCATTCAAATGGAAAGACAGCGACACATCGCCACCAACGCCGACTACCACTACCTAGCAACCCCCCCTGCTGGACTCGTGAAAGGTGAAACACTCCTTGTTGACCTGCATTGGCCACTGAATGCCATTCCAGCTGCTGCTGCCATCTTCACACATACTCACAACATCGCAAGCAGTGAGGCGTCATGCACGCGAGCCGTACGTTCTCCGCTCGCCCTAGATCGCACGGTCTTCGGGTGGGAGGAAGAGCAGGGTTTGATTGAGCGTGATATTAGGATGCAATGCGAATGCAAGGAGAAGGCTCGGGATGGGGATACGCGGAGGGGAAGCGTTACGGAAGTGGTTTGCCATGGAAAAATCGATGTAGTTCGCAAGCTCGGTCAATGTTCACGTTCTACGTGCCATCTCGATACGTATGCACCGGCTGACAAGATGTGCGTCGTGCCAGGCTGCACCTCGCGCGGACCATCGTGAGCTCGGGATGTTGTACTGTGGGGTTGTAGCATAGGGAACTGAGCTTCGGCATTGCCGTAGGGAGTAAGGAGGGGGGGGATGGCCGCAGGATCTGTCTAGGTAGCCTCTCAAACCGTCTGCGTGACTCCGATCGCGCTATCCGAGGCATCCCGCAGAGGCACCCGGGCCCGCGAGAACCATTCATCGAGCGTGTGCATCCAAGTAGGACGACTACAAAGTATGAATGACGAGTTTATGCGTCGGCACTCACCGCTATCGGGCATAAGGTCGTCCACATCCTCGTGCATACCGCAACTCCGCCACGACCGTCCTTGCGTACAGCCCTGACCATGCGGACAGCGCCATCGGCTCCAATCCGTTCGTAGCGCTGCAGGGCGACCGAATGCGAGACCAGGCATTCAGTCTTAACGTATCGTGAGTTCTGATCGGTATCAACGCGATCGGATAATCAACACCTACAGAGGTGCTGGTGGAAGCTCACGATCGCCTGCGCCGTGCGCGTCATCACAGGCGTGCCCGGAGTGTGAGCAGTCGGTGGCCGAGTTCGCTGTGGGGCCGGAGAGCTTGGTACCGTCTCGTCGGTGTCGGTACGCACGTCAGCTCTTTGAACAGACGAACGCGGCCCATCCCAGGGTGTGCTTGTACATACCGCGCGTCTAGTTGCAGTGATGCGGTTGTCGCACGCGGTTTCACGGATGGGGGAGGATTGGATGCAAGGCATACAGAAAGGTTAAAGATAACGGTGTGACGCGAGATGGGATGGGATGCGTTGGACGTGGAGTTACTGCGGATGGCTGGGAGGAGTGCGTACAAGGAGATCATAGACTGCATGACTCACCGCTGTGCCCTTCCTCTGCCCTCTGTTGACGGCAGCGCTCGCATGTACAGAGACCTTGTAGCTTGACATTATTGTCAGTGTTAGAAGGTGACCGTGAGCGCGTGAGCTTAGTACTTACAGGGAGGCTTGCGCTTCTGGGCGACACACGCACAGGGAGTCAGATTTGGACGGGGCAGACACATGATTGAAAAGCGCGGGAGAGTCAAAAGGAGCCGCAGCCGAAGACAGTGCACAAGCCAGAGTTTGCAGCGAGGATGCCCAGAGGGCGAGACCGACTTTGACGAGCGCGCGTGCACAGAGCGTGGGGAGTCCAGGCGCGAGAGGAAACCAAACAAGAGCGGAGAGGTGGGAGCAGCGAGTTGAGCAGACCGCGGCAGGCAGACAGCAGCAGCGACCGAGCCATGGATTGTCGCGACCTGACGGAAAGCGAGCGGTGTGGTCCTCGAGAGCAACGCGAGGCAGGCAGTTGTCGCCGTCCAACACGGGCGCCTTGTCGCGTGGGCGATTCCGGATTAGGAAGGGGACACGCGACACGAGAGCGCTGAGACTAGACAGGTTCAAAGACTCTTGATTCCGTCTAGAGTACGCTACTGTAACGAGAGTACGAGGTCGGGTATAAATACGATACGTACGAGACGCCCGAGTAACAGGGATTACCGAGAAGTCGAGTCCATGAGTAATGACAGTCGGCGAACGCATGGTCCAGGTGATGGGAATGAGCAAGCAAGGAGTAGGAGTAAGTAAGCAAGAGGAACGGGATCAGATGGAGGAGGTACGAGGAGATGATGGGAGTAGGTACGGCGGGATGGAGCGAGAGCGAACGAGCGCCGGGCGCTACATACGCCCTCCGGAAGTCGTGAGTGAAGTAGAACGACTTCCAAAACAGGAAGCGACGCTTAACCGCTGTCAGCGACGGTAACACAGCGTCTCAGGCGCGTTTCTTGCCAGCGCGACTGGACTGTTGGAATCCTGGCGTCAAGATGGCGAGCTCGCGGAACGAGCGCCACAGGTCCCGCCCCCCCGACGGATACCCGCGCCCTTATCTACCCCTATTTAGCTACGTATATAAGCCTTATTGTATCTACTGTGTACGGCACGCGTTTGCACCGGCCAAACGCGAATCCCATTTGTGCCCGCTTGCCCTCGAACTTCTTCATGGACCTGCGTTGGGAAGCCCCACCAGCCTCCTCCGGGTCTGAGTATTCGATAAATTCATCAGGCTCGCCCTCCGCATCCTTGTCCTCCTCCATTGGAGAAGATTCACGACGCCCTGCGGCGGAAGCCGTCCTGTTGGGTACCGTCTGCGAAGCACCACCCACGGCCAGGGAGCTAGTGCCCCCTGCGACAGGGGCAGCCAAGGCAGCGGGGTCCGAGCCCGACGCGCCCGATCCTGAGGCCACGGCAATTCCACCCGAGGAAGTGTTGATGATAGGAGGGGCGAGGACCTCCTTAGAAGGAGCGGAGCGAGTGCGGTCGGAGACGCGATGTTCGGCGCGTTTGCGCCTGCGATCGTCGGTGCGTTTCTCCTGCTGGCTACTGCGACGCTCGTAAAAGCGCGCCTCGCGCTCAGCAGTGCCCCAGAGCATATGCTCGATGGTCCGCATGCGCTGCTCCGAGAATTGAGGCTCGGGCGGAGCAGAAGGTGGAGCCGGAGTGAGAGGCGGATCGAGCTCATTGAGTAGAGCAGTGGGGACGGGTGCGCCGCGCACCGTGATGGTGTTTGTGGAGGCGTCGCGTGAGGAGAATTGGTAGGGGCAGGTCACGTCGGCGCCCCAGAGTTGGGCGAACAGGTCGTACCCGCCCGGGAGTATGACATGAGTAGCGGCGACGCGTCCGGCGCGGAGAGCGCGATCGTGGCTGACGTATTCGCGGAATTGCGCAGGCGTATAGTGGTGACGACCCCCGGAGTTGTCGACCAGGGTGATGAGGCGTTCAGAGGTGTCGAGCCGCGAGTGTTCGAAAGGCATGGAAAATGGCATGGTGAAC